TATTGGTTAAAGGATTTTTATAGATAGTATACTAAGTTTTTTGTATTCACCAATTAAATTAACACGAGTAAATAAGAGGCAAATATGAAACAATCACAACTTATTTAAGAGATCGGTCAAGATACTTATACTCAACTGAATTAACGCGAATAAAACAAAATTAAATATGTTCAGACGATTTCGAGAATTGACTAGCTGTTTTCTTAAAAAAAAAAAAAACATTTAAATTAAATATATTCTCCTGTCCCAAATCGCTGAATTTTTATTTCACAACTTCCCAACCAAGGTGCCCGTGTTTTAGATTCATTAATAATAATTTTCCAATATTGCATAAACGCTTTAATCTTAGTCTGTCCACTTAACAACAAAAACCAAACAAAATTATATAAGCAGTTCTATGTAATAATAATAACTTTAGCGATGTAAACCAATTATTATATTTGGTTCATTATATTTTATCATTTAAACGAGTTGCTTTAGTTTTTAAAAATATGGCGCTATTTATTTTGTGAATTGAATACAGTAAATATTTTCAAAGTCAAAGTAAAATCAAAGATGAAAATCAAAATCAAAGTGAAAGTCGAAGCAAAGTCATAATAAAAGTTAAAATCAAAGTGGAAGTCAAACTGAAGTCAAAGTGGAAATTAAAGTAAAAGCATAAACACATCTTTACAGGAAATCAGTTTTCAAAGTCACATGTAAGCACACACAAAAAATTCGGCTACCATTTTTTTTTGGCGACATTATAGAACACAAGACAATGATTACAACACTGTTATACGTATACTAACACATATTTGATATCAATTGTCAAATACAAGAAAATTATTAGATATAATAGCGTACTATGAACTGTGCATGATTAACAAGCGAACTATACTCCTCATGATGTGTAGAATCAATTGTGAAAATATATAATTGTTTATATTCATTAGTTTAAGTTAAAATTTTTATGGTTATCGACATATTATCGTTTGTTCATCTTAAATTTTACTGTCGGAAGATTTCAAATATCACTCAAATGCCTTTATTTCATCCTGGGTGTGTCCATATCTTCTTTATAGTAAATTCAAAATCGCGTTATTCTTGACAATCGTCACCTTTAGCAGATTTCAAATATATTTAATATTCTTTTTTTTGTTCTTGTTCGTACATACGTATTTTCATAATAGAATCCAAGACTGTATTGTTTATCTGAAGCATATTTAAGAACGAATCAAAGAATAAATGCCGTAAAAATGGGAAAAGAATTATTATAGCAAAAAAAACAAATTAAAACTAAAAGATGGCATATTCACCTAAAGCGTGTTTAAATTTTCTGTTTAAAAAAAACGGTCAACAAAAATAAGTAACAGTAAAATAAGTAAAATGAAAATTAGTGTAGCAAAAGAGAGAAAAAAAAACCGTTTACCCTCCGATACTGATACGATACTGGTGTTGAACACCAGTAGTGCTTTAATTTGATGCAAGTTAGTCATTGAACAGCTGTTCAATGTCCAGGTCACACCACGAGGAGGTTTGCATCTACGATCCAAAAGGAGTTTAAATTGGGATTGTGAATAAAAAAAATTTTAAATTTACAAAGAAAGGAATTATGAGAATAAACAATTTAAAAATGTGTATTCGATTATTTTTTTCAATTTATTTATCTCAAAATGATAAAATACGATATTGATAATGTACCAGTCATCGATAAAGTGATTCGCGTTTTATGGCCTCTAATAGCGAATCAATGGTAAACAGAGAGTGTTACTTCGTAAATATTTGCAAGATTTGTCAACTTTCCAAGAACTTCCTCAAGAAATTTTATGCATAAAAATAGTAGGAAAGCTTAAAGCTTAGTTTAGACTACTAAGTTCAGAGGCCCTATCCGTGTCGGAAGGAGCATATACTCAACGAACCTTAGCGCAAAATTTAAAACCGAGTAAAAAGAAACGATCTTTAAGGGGTAGTTTGTAAAGTAAAAAACAACACTTAAATGAGAAGTTGAAAATGCAATCACATAGGACGACCGAGATCAATAATTCACCCAGTTAGACCGGAATCATTGAAACGATCTAACTTCTCCAAACCTATGTGAAGGTGCTTGCAGGTATAACGAACAAAAATAATAAGCGAAAAAATGAAAAAAGAAAAGTTAAAGACAAAAAGTTAAAAAAAAATTGGGGCATTATCATTATCATTATCAGATAAACAATGTGTCCTATTGGTTGATGTATTAGGGGTTGCATATCAATTTACCCAACTAAGGGGGTCGTCTAAAGCCATGTACCCACGTGACCAATCCCGTAGATCAATAATCACAATGTGATTATTGAAAAGATAT